AAAATAGTCACAAAATCCAGGATTGGTTTGTTCTTTTTTGCCACCAACCTTACTTGGGGTAAGATGTGAACTCAACATCTTCACAAACAAAACTTCTCAGCCTGGTTAATCCAAATTCTGACCACTTTCATTACAAACTCACAGTCTCTTGCTCATTTACTTTTTTATTCAGATTCTGGTTTATTTTTTTAATCATTTCACCCCAAGCAAAGCAATAGAGCCACTAAGACGCAATGGATTATAGAGTGTCAAAGAATATGAGAAAAAGAAAAAATTTTGCCTGTTTCATTATGTTTGGGTCACCACTTTGTTGTGAGATTCAACACTTTTCATATGAGTGTGTTAATGTTTTTTAGTAGATATTTATAAGCTCCTGGAAAATTTGTTCCATAAACAATGTTGGTGGACTCATGTGAGTCTCAGTCAAAATAACAATGAATTTAAATTAAACTGCAATTATATGTATGTATTAACAAAAGTAATTGCATGTGTAGACAATTGAAATGAAAGAAAAAGACATTGAAACTTGCTAAAAAATCTGCTTGTGTGTGTAACAAGCATGTGTGTGTGTGAATGTGTGTTAGATTTCAGATGAGAGGACCAAAGAAGTGAACATGCCCCAGCAGCAGTGTTCTTTATCTACTTTCGACTAACATCTAAAAGCAAGAGTTAAAAAGAGAACGAGAGAGAATATGCTTGCCTTTTTATGGACTATAAGAGCACATCCTGACAAGCATTTTTGGCAAAGCCAAGTTGGGCAACCCACAAATATTATTGAAGAGAGAAGACAATAAAGGAACAGGAATTAAGAAGACAGAAGATAACAATTGACATTGTATTTAAATTTTTGAAAATCTAAGTTGTCTAGAAAGCAAGTAACTGGAAGAAAATTCCACGTGTGAAAAGTGTGAGAGAAGAAACTGTTAGCACAGAACTTATTGTTCCATCTAGCCATTTCAACTGTAAACTGATGAGACCTTGCTTCCAATCTAGTACTGTGTTTAAATTCATAAAGTCAAGATAGCAAAGATGAAAGCTTACTGTGAGAATTACCATGAAAATATTTATAGAAAAGGTACAGGGAAGTTATGTTATGGTGGTGGGAAAGTGACTGAAGCTGAGGTGCCAGGTCAGGACTGATAACATTGCAGATTCTCTTACTGACCAAATCAAGGGTTAAAAAGATTTTTTGTCCTTCAAAGTTCTGTGCATATGTTGCATTTGAAATGCTTAATTGAAAATTTGCACCTGTGATCATACAATATACCAGTTGTACTTTTTATGGGTACAGGTGCAAATCATTTCTTAACTCTGCAATACAGTGACATCTAGGAGAGCGTCAAATGGTCAGAACATCTGCAGATTAATGTTTCTAGTTCTTGAACATCGTCTTGTCCATCCTTTCTTAGATGTCATGCATGATGCATGCTTGGTTGATTATGTCTCTTTTCAATTCATGACTTATATGACTACTTTCTGCAGTAGTGTTACGAGGATGCATTTCTATAAAAAGGGATTCCTTTGAGTTCTACTTGTTATTACAAAAAAGTTTTCATTCATGAAGTAGTTGTAAAATAGTGAAATTAGAAATAGAATGTTTGGAAGATTCTAGATCATTCTAGTATATTCGAGAAAAATCTAGATGATTCGAGAAACATCTAGAAAAATGCAAATTAGGTGTTAGCCCCTATAAAAATGGGATTTTGGAAAAGGGTTGTCAGTTGGTGAAAACAGATTTCTGCTCAGTATCAACTCCGGCTTTTGATTCAAGGACTATTATATCCAGCCGAAAGAATCTCTATAAAAAAGTTGCCGACCAACCAAAACCCAAAAGAGAATTTCATGGAACAAAGTTGGTAAATAGAATTTTGACTAATTTTCATTGACCAAACTAAAATTAATATTTATTTACACACCTTTGTGGATTTCCAAATATAGCATAATTACTTCACTAGCCCTAAAAGTGATTTAAAAGATATTTGACTCCTTTCCTTCTCCCTCGTAACACTTGCCAGTAACTCTGTTTTCTGTTTTGTAGGCCACAATTGTTTATCTTGTATATATTTTATGTTCTGTTTTAGTAAATTAAATATTTGTTTGTGATTTAGCTCTGTGTTGTGGTAAATAATTGTTTTTTTCTTTGTTACATTTATCAACACGTAACAAGTAGACCGGTTACCAACCAAGGTTATAGGACCCAGTCTATACTTCTATTTAACCTATAAGTGGGCAGAAGAGCTGGATTCATAGATTTCCCAAGGATATCTGTGCGTAAGGGAATAGGATGAGCTTGAATGGAATTCAAAATTTGGCTCTCCCATTTCTCATTTTGAGTTGTTATCCATCACATAACTCACACATCTAAGTTTACATCAGCTGGAATTCCCAAACAGTTACCTATCTAGATACTAACCAGACTCAACATTGCTTAACTTTGATGATCAGACAAAAACCATTGTTTCAACATAATATGGCTTTCTTCCTCTTTGATGTTAACACAATATTTCATTCACTGTTTCTTCTGGCATTCATAAAATGGCCTTTCAAGCCAAGTAACTTTCAGGGAATTTCAAAGTGAATTCTACACAATTTATGTCTGGGTATATCTTGTTTATTTTAGTCTTGTTTCCACTGAATATGTGTACTAGCCAGAGATTGAACTCACAATTACTTTGCTACCAAATTCACAGACCAACACTTTAATTCACTTGACTGTTGTCTCATGAGACAATCATGAATCAAGGTCTTTAAGTCTAGAATCTAACTGAAATATTGTGACAAAAAAAGATGAGGATATTACTTATTACCAATAGAGTTCATCACAGAAATTCAAACACAAACTGTCTTGTCTATATTAACATTCTGTGCATAGACTGAATGTCTTTGTCTTCTATGTGGCATGTTCCTTCAAAATGTGGGTGATCATGGCTCTCCACAACTTCCTATCCCTTGTAGCTCTTAGTAAGATTTGTCTTTTGCCATCCCTCACCCCTGTTCTGCTATTCATTTGCACAAACTAGTCAAGTAGCTGGCCCACTGCCTTCCAATGACACTTCAGTCTTTGATATGTCCTGTGAGTGTCAAATTCACCAAGCCTTCCTTCCTGATCATGTGTCAGTTGTCTCTTTCTAATTCTGAGTATAACTGTCCTTTTTGTTTTCATTTCTGTTGTATATATGCTATGTTCATGGAATCCTCAGCACCCTTCTGTAGAACTACATTTCTATTGCCTCCTCACTTCTCTTTGTCTGTGAGAAAATTGTCCAGCATTCACTATTATGTAGGAAGAATTATATACCATAGTAGTTCAGCATTCTTTTTTTTGTTTCTAATGAAATATTCCTGTTTCTTAGTACTTTACTTAGCTTTTAGAAGGCATCTTTTGCTATTCCAATATGTGTTCAAATTTCAGTTTTGCATTTTCCAACCTCTGTTAGAACACTACTCATATATTTAAAATTTTATATTTGTTTGATTTTGGCATCTCAAATACATAATTCACATCTTGGGCTTTTTCGATTGCTGACAACCATATATTCTATCTTCTTACAAGTGATAGTTAGTCTTTCCTTCTTGTTTTCCTTTACTACCTTGTTTAGGAGGTCCTGTAGTCTTCCTACTGCATCTTATAAGATTGCATCCACTGACAGTAACTCCTGGTAAGGTCTTCAGGCCCCTTACAATAGCATCACTGTATAGGTTAAATAAAAATGGTGGGAAGACACATCCTTGACTTATTTCCCTTTCTGATCAATATTGTTGAAAGTTTTGAATCAACTGGAAACATTAAAAGTCTGAAGATTGTTTGGGTGAGAATTAATTGATCAATGAAATTTAAGTTAAAATTCCTATGGCTTTTATGTGTTCTTCAGTTGTGAACTTTTCCAGAGCTAATGTTCAAATGTTAGTCTGATTCTAATCAAGTTTGTTGCATTCATTTTTACACAAATACTCTTGGGAAAAGTATAAATCCATCTCCCTCAAGCTATGGGTTAAATAGTCAACTCTGGCATACTACTGTGTTGCTCATAACTTAGTACAGAATAAAATCTGTTTCCACTGTGCCTTGCCTCTTCTGGGATTCAATTTCTTCTTGTTATTGCAATTCAGTGTATAGAGCTCCAACCTCACTATACTTGGTTATTGGTTGATTTATAGAGCTCCAACCTCACTATACTTGGTTGTTGGTTGATGTATAAGACACCAACCATTATGCTTGGTTGTTGATTGGTTTATCGGGCTCAAACCTCACTGTGCTTCAGGAGAATGACATTTGGCCTAGTAATGCCATATAAAAGTGGACATGATCCTGGACTAATAGATGATGTAGAGATGATGTAGAGGTTTATGGACAAACCAAGGAGGAGAACATGATCAAAACCTCCACCACCTCATGAAGGATGCCAGACCCATAGGTCTATGTTTTAACAGCACTAAGTGTGCCATGGACCAGAAGGAAATACACTTCTTTGGAGCTGTGTTTAGTAAAAATGGGTTCCACCCAGATCCTAATAAGGTAGAAGAGATAAAATTTCTACTCAGTCTTAATAATTTTTGGAGTTTCATAAATTGCTGGGAATTATCACATATATGGCACCATTTATCCCTCATCTATCTGACCTCCCAGTACCCCTGAGAGAATTGCTAAATAGAGTACAAATGGACAAGTAACCACTAAAACTAAAAGTCCTTGCAGCAAATAAAAGATATAATCAGCACAGAAATGTTGCTCACTTACTTTGATCCACTAAAGACATCAGTGATTCGGGTTGATGCTTTGAGCAAAGGCCTTAGAGCTACATTCATACAAGAAGGCAAAGCCATAGCATTTGCATCCAAAACCCTCACAGAAACAGAGCAGCACTATGCCAACATAGAATAGGAGTTACTAGTAGTGGTTTTTGGATGCAAGAAATTCCAAATATACATATATGGCCTCCTATTTATTATTGAGAGTGATCACAAACCCTTGGAGATTATATCCCTAAATTAAATCTCACATAGAAGACCACACCACCTTGATGCTTCTTGTTTTTTGAGTACAACATGGTCATCACATATCGACTAAGGAAGGACATGACTCTCACAGATGAACCATCACAGCTTCCAAATAAGAGAGTAAAGGAAGCCATAGATCTGGACATAAAGGTTGACTTTGTGCAATTCTCAACAGAAAAATTGACACAGACATGCCAGGTGACAAGCACCGACCCATTATTATAGAAATTGAGAGATATGATCCTTTGATGATGGCCCATCTTGAGACGAGAGGTTAACTAAGATTTGCAGTGCTACTTGTCCTACCTTAATGAACATGCAATTGAAAATGGAATTCTCCTCAAATAGTAATTCCCAAATTTCTGTGGCATGAAATAAAACAAAACATACATAATGCTCATCAAGGGATGAACAAATGCAAATTGAGAGCAAAAAGCTGTGTGTTCTGGTATGGCATTGCCAAAACTGATCAAAAATGCAGCATTTGCTAAGAGCATCAAAAGGAACAGTATAATGAAGCAGTCATCCAGCATATGAGATCCTAAAAGATTTATGGCAAATTGTTTCTTTTTAAATCTCTTCTGCTTTCACTGGTTCAGAACTACCTACTAATTGTTGACTACTACTCCAAATACCCATTTGTATATAGACTGGGTGTGTTCTCCAGTCAAGAATTGGTCAATATGAACAAACAAATATTTGGAAAACAGGGAGTACCCAAAAGAGTTATCAGCAATAATGGGCCCCACTACAATCCAGCCTGTTCAAGAGTTTGTGAATTTAAAAAAATTTGAACACCAAACATTGCCCCTGTAGAAAGGTAATCAAATGGGATGGCAAGCCCCTCATACAATCTGTGAAGTTCATCTGCCATAAAGAAAGCAGTCCAGTGTAACCATGACATCAATATGCTTTTGCTATGCCTTAGAGCTACACTGATAAAAGACTTTATTTCTTCACCAGGTGAGCTTACATACAATTGAAAACTTGTCAGTAACATACCAGTCAAATGCATGAACCATCAAACAGGGAAAGACAAAATTGCAAACCGCCTATACCAAAGGAAGTCAACACAAAAATTATATCACAACCAAAACAATAGGCAGCTTCCTACACTCCTCATGGGACAACCTGTCTGTATACAAAACCAGAAAAATTGTGGTTGATTATTTCCCATCTCACAACCTCTTTCCCATAAATGAAAAATTGCAAGCCTCTCACTACTCTATTATTATTTCCATGGAAAATGTTCAAACAAGCTACATTCTTTTAACAATCAGACACTGACAGCTGACTTCTTTTCTGATCCAGCACTAACTTCCCAGTGAGGAAAAAATTGGCTGGTTACATTAAATGCCTCGAAAAACCAAACTAGTTACATTCCATCACTATCACTTCAAGGAGGTACCATGCCTTGAGAGAATATTGGGCTGCAAACTCACACCTGGCATCAAGTAGAACTCATATGATATGTATTAAAGATGCAGGTAAAATGATTGGCTCCCTGCATTGCTCCAGTAAGTACCTTTATAAGAGCCAGATGGGGTGCTGTTGTCATATTTGGGTGGGTGTTACCCAGTCCTCACTTTCTCTTCTTGAGTTCAAAAGCGAATCTGAGTTCTTGTGGGTGACAAATTATTTTTCACCCTCCAACCTCTCTCCCACAAGCTGGAGATTAGGGATTATGTTTAGGGTTTGGGTAAAAGGCAGTGAACTGGTTATGTGTAATCTGGACAGGATCAAACTAGCTGTTTGATCCTGTCCAGATTATTTCAGCAAGAATCAAACAAATGTTTGGAGTTTTTAACTTCAAAAACAACGAAAAAGTAAAAATCACACGTTAATTGTATTCTTTGTAATGCATACAATGTGTTCCTTCAGCCTAAATGACTTAGATTTTGTAAAAGTAAAGAAAAAATATTATTTGATTTGGTGCTACTATAGTATGATATCTACCAAGACATTTACGACCTACCCATAAATGACAATGCACTCATTATTGCTGGAAAATGCTCAATAAAAACGATGACCTGTTTATTGTTTTTTTTTAAATGACATCAAATCAGTTTACAAACATTAAAATCACTATTTGATGATTTTTTATTTTTTTGTATGAAAAATTGTTAACGATTTTTAATACATAACCAGTTCACTGCCTTTTACCCAAATCCTAAACATAATCCCTAATTAACATATTTCATACTTCCAACACTTGGTAAATATCATACCCTAGTAGAAAATAGATAGTAGATATCATAGTATAGTAACACCCTTGAGTTTTTGTGATATTTATGGTCAGAGTAATATCAGAAAGACTAATACAAATATAGAATGATGTGTTTTATAGATTTTGATAATGTGTTTGATAAAGTACATCACAAAGATGGTTTGGTTTGTTTGTTTGTTTAATGGCATATTAACTCCTCATGAGTCATTTAACACCAAAATTGTCTTCTCTTGTGAGCTTTGGTGGTAATTTAAAAAAAAAAAAAATGTATTGTTGGTAATGTTTTTCAAATAATGTATTGCTGATAAACTTTTATTTTTACTATGAAAATGTATTGCTATTTTTTTCTAATGTATTTTTTATATTTTCATGTTTTGATTCATTTGGGGGTTCACTATTTTCCCATAGCTGGGACCCTAACAGGTGCTACCACACCTGTTCAGGGTGGACCTGAGAACAACAGCAATTAAGAGATGGTTTCACTCTCCTCAAAATCTCCAGTCTCCTGATCAGACACCTTGCTGCCAGATGTAGTTGATCATCATAACTGTAGTGAAAAGTTTGGAAAATTTTAGTTTCTTCTCGTTTGTAATCAATTCCTGCAATCTGTTTCCTTTAGTTAAACACTCCACTGAAAAAATGATCTTATGAGAGATTATCTCACTCCAGGATCTATCTGTTTTAAATGTGCGACCTGCAAAGCCACCATTTTTCCTTTTGGTACAGTTTACATGTGGGACATGTTTGAATCCGTTTTCATCCTGGAGGTGAGCCATTTTCTCTAGTGTTACACTAACTGCTGCAAAAAATGCATGTTGCCCTGGAGCTCTTTGACCTCTGCAGTAGTTCACTGTGCAGGACAAACATCACAAAGAACTGTTGGAACTGCTAGGTAACTTTGAAATATTTGGAAAAGACATTAGAATAATCCAGAACCTATACTGGCAGCAAACTTTGTGCATGTGGATAGAAAAGAAGTTCAGTAGATATACATAAATAGAAAAGGGTGTAAGACAAGGATGTGTCTTCTCACCAGACTTATTCAACCTATAAAAAAAGGCAATTCTGAGAGAATTAAAAGTCCTACCAGAATTCATTATTGGTGGCCACAATCTTAACAACATTAGATATGCAGATGACACAGTGTTGATAGCAGACACAGAAAGGAAAAACTACAAAAATCCTACAGAATGTAGTAAAGGAAAGAAAGAGAAAGGACTAAACATTAATTAAAAGAAGATAGAATGCATGGTTGTTAGCAAAAAGAAGAGCCCAACATGCAAATTACAAATTGGAGATATTGAAATCAAACAAAGTACAAAATTTAAATATCTGGAAAGTGTTTTAATAGAGGACAGAAAATGTGACACTGAATCCAAAGACTCATTGGCATAGCAAAAAAAATGCCTTCCAAAAGCTAAGCAAAGTATTAAGAAACAGTAAAACTTCATTATAAACAATGAAAAGAGTACCGAAGTGTTACATGATATCTGTTCTCTTATATAGCAGTGAATGCTGGACAGTTTCCTCACAGATGAAAAAGAGATTTAAACCACAGAAATGTGGTTCTACAGAAGGATGGGGAAAATTCCAGGAACTGAATATGTGAGCAACGGCAAAGTTTTAGAGGAAATGGAAACAAAAAGGAAATTTACACTTAACATTAGGAAGAGAGAATTGAAATTTCTAGGAATGATGAAGGAGGGCTTGGAAAATCTGATACCCACATGACACATTGAAGGCAAGATGGACAGAAGAAAACAATGCATAACCTACTTAGTGAACATGAGTAAATGGATGACAGAACAAGGTTTAGGAGAGATGACAAAAAGAGAAAATTTATTGAGAGCTACAAAGGACAGGAAATTGTGGAGAGCCATGATCACCTAAATCCTGAAAAGACATATTCACATAGAAGAAGAAGAAGAATGTCATCCCCTACCATACATTTTTTCTAACCATTTGTAATTGTTTGGTGACTTTAATGCCCACTATATCAGGTGGCTTAAACATTCTGTCACTGACCATGCTGGCATTCAAATCCTTAACTTTTCAATCACTCAAGCTTTCACACAAGTTATGGACTTCCCTACACATTTACCCAGTAACCCTGTGACAGACACGCTTCTCTTCTAGATCTCTTTTTTACCTATATCCCAGACTCATGTCGTACTATGCAGCTCTGCCCTCTTGGCAACTCTGATCAAGCAGTAGTGTCTGTAAACATCTCTTTCTGCTCCCCTACCAGCAAAGAACCACCTACCAACAGAATATGTTTCTGTTATCAATGAGTAGAATGGGATTTCCTTTGTGATGTCCCTTGGAATGAGGTTTTTAATCATCCTGTTCATAAATGTGCATCTGAGGTCTCCACCTTGGTGGAAGCTGGCATTGATGCTTTCATTCCAGAAAGGAAATACCAAGTTAAACCTCATTCATCTCCTTGGTTTTCACCTGCATGTTCAGCCACTATAGCCCACAGGAATCACTTCTTCTAACTGTACCAGAGTGACACATCTGATTGCAACAGATGTTTCTTTGTCTCTGCACATAACAAGCACAAGCATGTCCTCAAAGAAGCAAAGTTACTTTTTGATGATAGAAGGAATCAATATATTTCCCCTAGGAAGTTTGGTTCTAGAGATTATTGGTGGCTCTGCAAGTGTGTGCTCAACAAGAAGTTTATCAATCCTTTCTAGTCAATCAATTCAAAGTCCTTTCATCTACAGCAGATATTTCTGAATGTGTCAAAAGTGCCATTAGCCGCTCCTTAGAAAAACGACCTTGACCTTCAGAAAACCCCTGATCTTGCAGATTTAAGTCCAGCAGCAGGTGAGAAACTGGACGACTGGCCAATATGGTGGATTCCAAAACCGTGCCTCGCATGAGCATCGGATTAGGCAATAATTTCCAAACATCGAACAACATGGGGAGTTTTTTATATCTATGGTTTTTCTACCCTCTAGCCAGAGTATGTTGAACAAATCATTCAAACATATTGTTAGCCCCTTTTTTGTCCAAATCCGAGCTGAT